AGTGTCCCCGTCACTATACTGGGGCATTAGGACCCACATGGACCGCAGGGTTAGTGCCCCCTGCTGGCCCCACTAACACCTCTTCCAGCAGCAACCCTCCAACCAATCATTATAATGTGTAATTAAGATAGCATGCTTAAATCCATCTAGCCACCATCTGACTACTTCTTCCAATTCAGGGTTTGGGGGAGCTGCATGCTGTCCTGGCAGGCAAGAGGCACACAGACACACACACTCACGCCAGGGCCAGTTTTCCCAGAAGCCAATTAACCCACCAGCATGTCTTTGGACTGTGGGAGGAAACTGTGAAAATGGAGAGCATACAAAACTCCACACAGACAGCACCCGAGGTCTGGAATTGAACCCAGGACTCGCTGCAAGGCAGCAGTGCTAACCACTGCATCACTGTGATTACGACAGTGATAAAATAACAGCTTTCAATGCTTTCATGCAAACTTGCGCACACCGTTATGCGACATTCGACATGTTTTCCTGTTTGACCACACTACCATGACACTTTTCTGCAGGAAGTGCTATTCAAAGCGCCTTTTTGAATCCTTTTAAAACTGGTGATTTCCTGAAAAACCCAGACGCTCATCCGCCGAGATCCCAGTCGCTTCATCTAACGTTACTGTTTGTGTAAAAGGCTGGATCATAGTTATTCCTGATAACAGCCCCTTTGGTCCAAATCTTACCAGACCTTCAAAAATCCTATTTCCTTTGCACCTGTGGTGAGTCGGTGAGTAGTGACTGGAACAGGCCCATGTGCACAGGGATCATCTGGATTCCAGGAAATCGGGTTCTTATTCACAGAGAAAAGAGGGTGGAGTCAACGCCTAACATTTTGAGAATCGATGTTTTCTCCTGTCCGTCTCAGTCCCATTGCCCTGTCTCTCCCCCGTCAGGCAGCTGTATAAGATCCTGGACAGCTGCCGCCAGCTGACGCTCTCCCAGAGCAGCGCAGAGGACGACACCGCCGGCATGGTGACCATCCTCGCCGGCCACCCCCTGCCGGACCCGTCCGCGCTCTCTCCGCACATGCAGGTCAGAGAGCCGCGCCACCGCACAGCTCCCGCTAGTCCCAGGAAAAGACTTTTCCACCGGTGCTCTTCTATACACGTTTCATTCTCATCTTGCATCCCAGTAAAAGCATGTGTTTGGATTGAGAACGGACTAAACCCAGGAAATAATACAAAAATTAGGGGAGTACCACAGGGATCTGTACTAGGACCTCTGCTCTTCTTACACTTGTCAGTGATTCTGGACTCGGATAGCAGGTAGTAGGATAGTGGCTTTTGCCAGAGCTGGGGTGTTTTATAGGGAAGTTTTGTCCCAAGCCGAGCTGGGATTTACTGCTGGAACAGGAGTGGAGGGTGCTGACCTTCCTCTCGTTCTTCCTGTCCGTTTCTCACCCATCTCCGGCTCTCCGTGTCCCCGCAGGCGGCTGTCCAGGCGGTGCTGGCCGCGGGGATCGAGCTGAAGAGCATCCTGGACTTCTTCCGCCAGTGGAAAGAGATGGGCTGAGGGGGCGGAGAGGAGGGGCGGCTCGATGGTCACCACATCACGCTCTCGATCCCCCCTCTCTCTTTCTCTCTTTCTCTCTCTCTCTCCCCCACATCTCCCTCCCTCCCGCTCTCCATCGCTCCACATCGCTCCGGGGAAAGCAACGGAGGGGGCGCGAAGAAAAGACGGAGAAGGACGCCAAGTCCGTCCCCCTCCAACCCCACTCCACCTGCCATGACGAAGGAAGATCACACGGGCGAACGCTGCAACTAAAGGGTTTATGCGCTGGAGGGGGGGAAGGGCAGACTGTCCCGGTACCCGTTCAGAACCCCAACACGCGTGTGCTGTGCGCTTTAGACAAACACAGGCGCAGATACGCTTA